AGTGAGTGAGTGAGTGAGTGAGTGAGTGAGTGAGTGAGTGAGTGAGTGGGTGGGTGGATGGATGGATGGATGGATGGATCTGTAGATTTATTGTGAACAAATAAAATGTTTTCAATTTACCCATAAATGAAGAAGCAGTACAGTAGTGCCTCGATTAGGGCTGCAATTAACAATTATTTCAATAATCGATTCATCAGTCTATTATTTTTTCAATTAATCGATGAATTGGCAAACCAAAAAAAAAAAAACGTTTTAATTTCCACCCCTTTATTCCAAAATTGAACATTTGACTGACATAGCAATTCACACAAAAAACAGGTTGCTATTTGACTATTCTGTTAGTAAAATATTGAATAATAAAAAAATAAAAGTTAGTCAAATAGCTTAAAAAAATGTACACAAAAATATAGACAAATGTGTCTTTATACCTGTACAATATGTAGCTACTTTGTAAAATGTGTCGAGGGAAGAGTGTAACCTGGATTAAAAGCGTGGATTATTGTAACCTGGATTAAAAGTGTGGATTACTGTAACCTGGATTAAAAGTGTGGATTATTATAACCTGGATTAAAAGTGTGAATCATTGTAGTGAAGCCTTCGTCTTCAACCATCGACAGAGGCCTCATGTCAGTGACGATCATGTTCAGGATGTTTCAGTGAAGACAGCTGCTGTTGTGGTGTCCATGATGTCTGTCCATCATGAAGGATGTTGTTGTTTGTTGTTGTTTTCTGGAATGACAGAGTAAATATGTTTTATATCATAATTTATAGCAACTCAAGAAATGCCTTGTTTCACTTACAGTGTTAGGTTCAGGCAAAAGTAGCTCAAAGAGCAATTAAACACACACACACACACACACACATATATATAAAATACTTAATTACACACATTTGAGTAGATGTAATAAATTACTTTAATTCCTGTTTAAATGCAATTCATCCTGCCATATATGCAGTATCTTCAGACTTTGCCAGAAAATTAAAAGTTGAAGCTTAAATTATTATCTTTGTGTTAGATTTATTTATAAATCACATTTAAACACTGCTTGTTCCAATTAAATTAAATAAAAAGTAACACACGCATTCTCTATCACTGTCATTAATCAGAAAACAAACAAACAGCTTCATCTACCAGACAGACTGACGTTACGTTTTCTCACTTGAAACAGAACAATGTGTTAAATTGTAGAGACTCACCTGCAACACGAGTTGGGAGTGAGACGAGTTGTATCAGCTGCAGCTCCTTCCTCCTCGTCGTGACTCCAACATGTTTACGTTTATCAGCGTGGTTCTCCCGTGTCGTGTCATTAATTTTCAAAGCAGCATGTTTCAGTTTTTATCTTTGTGAAGAGCTCCCGCAATTTGGAGGACTTGGGTCGAACAGTTTTCGCTGCGTTGGTCATTTGTAAAATTTACTTATTTTCCTTTGAAAACAGCCTCTGCTCTGCTTCCACCTCCCCCCTCGCTCTGTTCAACTCGCGCTGCAGAGGTTTTGTTTTTTTCAAACTTTATTCAGTCAGTCAGCATTGACAATGAACTGCTCATGAACAAAACGGCTCCGCAGCGCCGTGAAAGACGCATAATCGCGCAACACAACAAATAGATAATGAAATTCGTTGCCAACGCTTTTAATCATCGAATTTTATCGATTTTATGGATTCCTTGTTGCAGCCCTAGCCTCAAATACTTCGCAGTTCGACTTTCGTGGACTCACTCTTTTGCGGGTTTTCAACGTAAGATTGTACACAACAGACAACTAACAGATTGATGGAAGCCAACCAACCAGAGCATTGTGCTGAGGGGCAGACTGGCCATGGGAACCACCGGGACATTTCCCGGTGGCCTGGCCTGCTCAATGATTGCTGAGGGGCCCCCTCCTTTCTTTTTCAGAGGCTGTCTGTCACAGCAGAGCAGAGACACAGAACAGGTTCACAAACTGTTGTAAGTCTCTGTTCTGCTGTGACAGACAGCCTCAGAAAGAGAAAGGAGGGGGCGGGGTGAGGTCTGTTTTTCTCCATCACTACTGGCCATCGGAAGCACTGGGAAATGTCCCGGTGCTTCCGATGGCCAGTCCTCCCTCAGGATTGGCTCAGTAACCGTAGCACCAGTCTGTCTGCTCTCTTTCACTGT